TCTTGTTATTAAAGGAACATATATTTATGTTTTTATGTGATTCTGTATAAGCAGGATTTAAACGAAACCCTAAACACACCCTAAACGAAACCCTAAATGAAACCATAAACACACCCTAAACGAAACCCTAAATGAAACCATAAACACACCCTAAATGAAACCATAAACACACCCTAAATGAAACCATAAACACACCCTAAACGAAACCCTAAACGAAACCCTAAACATACTCTAAACGAAACCATAACTCTAAATGATAACATAAGGTAAAACAATGAAAATACATGTGTGTGGGTGTTCTTAGATTAGATTATATCAGTCATATGTTGGAAAATCTATACAATTTGTAATGAACATCATACCTTAGAGTACTCTTACTAAATTTTCGAATACCTTAGAGTACTCTTACCAACCTAAGAACTAAACCCGACATAGGATCCAACAGCCAACGAAACCCACCCAAACTAGATCCACAAGTGACCTAATACAACCCGACATATATAACAATCAAACCCGTATTTTTCCTTTTTTTTTCTTCTAATCTTCTTTCCGCCTCTTTTTCTTTCTGAAACCGTCTTTTTCTTGCTGAAACCGTCTTTTTCCAATCATGAGCAACACGAGGCGATTCTCGCAGGGAGTGCCGTCAAGATGCTGGTGTGGGAGAGGGGTTGTGATATTCTATTCCAGAACGGATGAGAATCCGTTCCGGCGGTTCTATAGATGCGAAATAGGAGCACAGGTTTCGTTTCATATTGTTTTTTTTATTCAAATCCCGATTTATACTGTCTTCATATCCTCTATTGTCTTGTGTATGATTTTTAGTATCTTTGATGTATTTCGGGAAAAATTGGGATATGATGCAGGGAAAATCAGATGCACTGAAATTCATTCTGATGTACTAACTTGAACTTTGTTTGAATGTAGCGGAAGAAGGAAAATCATTTATTTAAGTGGGTTGATGAAGGTTTGCTTGATGAGATTCGAAGGCTAGATGCTCAGCAATTGGAAGTTACACAAGAGATTGAAGATCTCAAAAAAAGTTTGCAAAGTACAGTTGAAAAAGAAGTTAAGAAGCAGAAGAATTCACTTGAGTTAGGTTGTTTAGGAAGCATTTTATGGCTGTTTGGTAGATTGGGATGCCAGGAATGAATCAGTCTATTGTTTCTCTAAACGAATTTGTGTTTTCTTCTCACACTTAATATGATGATTACACTGAATATGTCGATTTCCGTGGTTCTTTGTGTTCTTTTTTATTCTCTTATGTTATGCTCTTAGTATGATAAACATGATTGTAATGTATCAGAATGAAACT